TAATAATAATAATAATAATAATAATAATAATAATAATAATAATAACTTTGCTTTAAGCAATAATACACCTAATACGTCTTTTGTTACTTTATACAATGTTCTTTCTTCTAAATTGTAGTCGATAAAAGTGTAATTTGTTGCTGTTGTTTTGTTTGTTTGATACATATTATCATCCCCTCATAATATTAACGCACTTAGTAATACTACGATATTTAAGATTTATTCATTAAATATTATTATTATTATATCGAGTCGTTGTATGCTAGAAAAATGTTGAGATCAAAGAAATTGCGGATTTTTTTCATGATTTTACTTTGCTTTAACTTATTCTTCTTCTTCTTCTTTTTCTTTTTCTATAGCCCCCTTTTTCTCCTTTTATTGTTTGTTTGTTTTCAATTATTTCTTTACCATTATATTTTCTACTTCACATTTTCCTTCTATTCACCGAGTCCGTTAATCAATTAATTAATCCATTTGATCATCTTTCAAAAATAAAGAAAAAAAAAAAAAAAAAAAAAAAAAAACAAGAACTGTATAACTTTTGTCGGAAGTATTTTTTAATTTTTTTTTTTTTTTTTATTATTTTATAATTCTCATTTATTATTTACTTATTTATTAATTTATTTCTTGTAATAAATTGCGACCCGCGATAAAAGATTTGTTTGTTTGTTAGTCGCGTTTTCTTTTTTTTTTTTAAAAACATCTATAAATATACAATGGCGTTTCTTCCTTTCTTTTTCTCTTCTTGAAGAAGTTCAAAATGGAGTGTCTTAATTGTTCTTATTATAATTATCATAATAATCATTACGCTCGGATTATACAAGGAATTTTTAGTTTCTTTTATAGTTTTCTATTTTAACGATTAAAAGACGGAAATAATTGTTTTACAGTTTACGTATTAATTAACGTAAACTTAGCCGCTGCATTTTAACGCGACCGACGATTTGTTTGTTGTTGTTGTTGTTGTTCTGTTGTTGGTTTTTATAGTGATTTGTTTGACGCAAAATTGTGTGGTTTTTCTTTTTTTTTCACAGTGATAAGAACCTCCCCTACAACCTTTGCCCAGTCATCAACAGCAATTATCTGTTTTCAATTGTTCTTGTTTATTTAATTTTAAATCATTTGCTTCCATTTTCTTGTTGCTCTTTTTTTTTTGTTTTTTCTTTTTTTTTTTTGTTTTTTTTTTTTTTTTTTTGTTTTTTTTTTTTTTTGTTTAAATTCTTCGCTACACACACCTACGTATATGAGATTAAACAATTTATGCGTACGCACATTTGTTTTAATTCGATGTCCATATTCACATCATCATCATCGTTCAACATTGGCACTTTGAAAGTTATTACATTTGTTTAATTTTCTTTTTTTTTTTGTTTGGTTCTTTCATTTCATTTCATTTCATTTCATTTCATTTTCTTTTCTTTTCTTGTCTACTTTTTTTCAAATAATATTACAACATTATTATGATATTAATTACATTATCGTTAACTTGTTTTTCTTTCTTTCTTTCTTTTACTTTACAAGTTTTATATTATCGAATAGAAATGGTTTGGGTAATTTGATAAAAAATAAAAAAAAAATCTCTTTTTGCTAATTCACACCCTTCCCTCCCCTCCTGTTTTTTTTGTTGTATCCTTGAATTTGAGATGATCATAAAACAAAGTTAATCCATCGAATTTTGATGATACAATACGCAATTATATATATTGTTTACTTTAATTACTCTTGCCCGTCGTTTTTTTCTAATCTTTCTTGTTTCATTTAGATGTGTTCGAATAAGCGAATAATAATAATATTAATCATCAAAAGTATTATATTATTGAGTTTATCTATCCTTCCTACCCATCTCCTCGACAACGATTATTACTTTCACGTTTTAAAGTATGTTGTATGCATGTATGTATGCATGTATGTATGCATCTATTGTTTTTTAGTCGACAGATTAAGTTTGTTGAGAAACAGGTACAAACAACACGATGTAAACACGTCAACCACGGTACAATAAAATAAACACACAGATACACAACACACATCATACACACCACAGACAAAATATGCAGAGATGATAGACGCAAAATTTGTTGATCCTATTTTACACGTACATGCATTTTTTAATGTATTTTCTTTTCTTTCCAAAGTTAATCAATTAGGCAGTATTTTATTATCATGTTCCTCTCATATACACACATATATATATATACATATATATATATATGTATATATAATTATGTTTTTTTTTATTTATATATATGTGGAGCACAATACAGAGAAGCGAGAAAAATATGATCAAATGAACTCTCCTCGAGTTTGAAAAGATTATCTCATTATTATTATTATTATTATTATTATTATTATTTATTTATTTAATTATTTATATTTGTTAATTATTTATTATTATTATTATTATTATTATTATTATTATTGTTATTATTATTCACTACCGAAAGCACCGAATTAAGATGGGAGCACACGATAATGAAACTCAAATGTTTTAATCTCAGCAACGAGAGTCTGCTAACAATTTAATCAATCAAATTAATTGCACAAAGGTATCTATTATCATCATCATCATCATCATAATCATCATAAGCATCATCATCATCATCATCATCATCATCATCAATCATCATCTTCATCATCATCATCATCATCATCATTATTATTATTCATGATAATTCTCAGATATCTTCATCATCATTCATTTTATCTTAATCATTCTTATTATTAATAATTCTAAATTCTAGACAAAATCTCATTAAAGATTCTATTTAGGATTCTTAATAGATACGATAACCGATTATCTACATTTATATATGACATAGAGACATTGTTTAGTCTGTATTGAATACAGGCACGATAATTATTAATTACAAATAACGGTATGATATCCAAAGTCCTGTTGGTATCACAATCTTAAAATCCGCGGAGACCGGGGTGTATTTATTTTTACGGTTTTATTTTCGATCCCGAGAGAGATCCGACATTTATTTTATTTTATTTTATTTTATTTATATAAAAAAAACCGTTCAATGGAAAAACTTTTACGATAGACTTCATTGTCCATTTCGTAGAGTGTTTTTCTTCGGGAAAAAAAAAAAAAAAACAAAAAAAGAAATTAAAAGAAAGTAATAAGTGTAATAGGAATAATAATAATAATAAAAAATAATAATTACAAAAACATTAAAGAGAAAATAGAAGTAGAAGTAGTAATAGTAGTAGAAGAAGAAGAAGAAGAACTAAAAGAAAAATGGAAGTGTCAAAAACGAAATTATTAATAACGAATAAACCTCAGTGTTTATTGGCTCAGCCAATGTTTCTCTCTAGAAAAATTAAACGCGAGTTTATACCTTCAAATATCACAACAAATTCTTTTCTTACATCACTCCTTTGCCTACCCTACCTATCTATTTTATCTCCATTTATATTTATTTAATTAATTAATTAATTAATTATTTATTCGGAGTTCATTATTCCCGATAATCTTCTCTCTTTCTCTATCTTTGTTTGTTCACATTCTTTTCTTAAAATGTATGGAGCATTAAAAAAACAAAAAAAAAATTCTTACTCTCTTTTTCACACACACACACACCACCACGCAACGCAACACCACCATCATCTTCTTCCCTTTCGTTCTTGCTCCTTTGCAAAAATCTTGCTTCTAGAAAAATGACGAAGCATATGTGTAACTTCTAAAATCGCGCATATAAAAACCGCGAATTTATATTTGTTTGTAATTAATATATTAAAAGACAATGATTTTTCACATTCCATGGATCTTTAAAGATCACGACGAGGGGGGGCCTATGGCTACGTTTCTTCTTTAATCTTCGTTTCATTTCCAGTTTTAGTTTTGGCAATGGTCTCTTCTTTAGCATTAGCTAACACCGTTAAAGAATCTTTAACCGCGTGATATATAATGTTTTTGATTTGTAACTTATCTTCATGATTGGTATGGGAATCGGATAATTCACGAAATTCTTGTGTTAGATGGAAACAATGCGACACGTTCTCCGGTGATACAAAATCTTCTGCCACTTTGATACAGTTGTGTAAATTTCTAACTTGATGTGGTGCACCCGCTGGCACGAAAACGGCATCTCCAAGACATTGTACGATTGCGTATCTGTGTAATAATTCAAAATACAAATATATTTAAATAATTCATATTCAAAAGTTTGCAGAAAATTATAATTGTAACTAGTATAAGAATTGAAAGGATTAAATTTGAATGAATGAAACAAACTTACCCTTCGACACCGTATTCGCGATACAATCGTTCCCGCAGAGGACCATCCAAGTAATAACTCTGATCGTGTATAGGATCATGATGTGGTTCTAATCGTGCACCACGTTCCAATGCTACTGCATTTAATAAGTCACGTATTTTATCAGCATCGCGAGCCGCATAAATATGCCACAATGCTCCTGGTGCTTCACCGCGTTCACGAACACGACGACGCGTCAGAATATCACAGCCTGCTTCGTCAATAGCTCTTAATGCCTCTGTAATATATAAACGTTAACGTTATCATTTAAATATACAATGACAAGTATTATTATCAAAATACAAAGATGTACGCGTATAAAAATTGAATTTAAAACATTTAACATTGATTAAAGCTACGTATAAATATTGTTCAAATAATTACATCGTATTGTCTTGTTTTCCAGAATAATTAAATTCTATAATAAAACATAAATATTTACCTTTGACGTGTTCATCATTATCGGCATCTTTAGGAATACCAACATATACCATCACGTTAACCGCATCAGAGATGTCCAAATGTAAATTGGTAGTACCTTTGTTAGGATAAAGTGCAGAACCATATGCGTTATACATTTTAGGACCCAAATCTGGTCTTACAAAACAATCAGGTAAATGACTCGCTAAATTCAATCTACCATGTCGATGGGTGTATTCCAACAATGGTAATGCTTTCATTAAATCAATAAAACGCGTCGACAATAATTCAGCAAAATCATCGCCAGGCGGCCAGTCTTTCAATTTCAATAACATATGATTTCCCCTTTCGTCTTTAAGTCGTTTGGAAAAGTGTTCAAAACCTTCCCAGAATTTTCTCATTGGTTGATTCGGTACCAAGTTACCAGTCATACAATTGATAAGATCATTTTTCTTATCCCCAAAATCTCTGGCAAATGAATCGGGATGCCAAAGATCCATGTCCAGAGATTTAGCTACGTCCGATACTATAACCGGCTGTCCGCGTTTCCATTGGTCTTGGAAAATTCTATAATTGTTTGGATTGTTCGGATCGTTTAACCTTAACAATTTACCGTCGCACAGCCAGGAATGTGGTACATCTGGATACAAACTTTTACTTTCGGTTAACGTCATGATTCTTATTGGTAATGGTTCTCTACCCCTTTGAGTCCATTTATATCTACGTACAAAGTGTTTCAATTCTCTTGGTTTTTCGTCGTCATCCAATCCGCTTTCTCTTTCCTTAGTTACCGTATGCTCGATAACACTGGTTATTACTTCGTCAAGTGTATCCATTTTAGATTTCTTACCAGATTTAGTCATATTATTATGAGTGTTTGTACCGGATGCTGAATTGGTATTACTAGTGTTATTAGTCGGTGAATTAGATCTGGATCCATTACCATTGGATTTGTGGGATGGCCTTATTAACAATTCTCTCAAGGTAGAATAATTACCGTCACGATCTTCATCCGAATCTGAACTCGAACCACTTTCGTTCTTATCTTGATTTTGCAATGCCACATCTGCCAACCAATTTAAAGGTGAATTTTTATCTTCCCCATTAACTTTGTTTTCCGATGCACCATTCGATTCATTTATCTTCTTTTCCTCTTTGGGTTCTTGCTTAATGTTACCATTAAGAACAGGAACAGTTTCTCCTTTAATTAAATTTCTTAAACTTTCGTTTGGTTGACCAGGTGAAACAAAAGAACAACCACAATGCTGAGGGATTCCCCATTCTGATCTACACTCATGAAGACGTTGTCCAAGTCGTAGGAGACTATCGCCAGCTATTATTTGCGTTAGCATTAGTCTTTCTGGTTCGTGAGCTTGTCTGTTCGTACACAGTAACCATGAAAAATCATCCCTGTCTTTGCCGCTTTCACCCCATATTTTAATTGTTCCATTTTTACGTCCCTAAAAAAAATAATTGTTTTTATTTATTTATTTATTGAGATTTATTTTTCTTGTTTAAGTGTACAATAATACATTTATTCAAGTTTTGTTTTTCTTACCTTATAACAATCGATGCATACGACAAATCCACATTTCCTACAAGCCCAATGGTAATTGAAAAGTGTTGTTTCGCATACGTCGCATAATTCTCTTACTCCTGGTAGAACTCTCTTCCATGCTACTGTTCCGTCTGTAATTCCCGCACTCACTATGAAGAGTAAAATAAACAACGAATACATAAAGCGTGTAAACATGCGAACAAATTAAAATTAATAATAACTCAGCCAAAAATTCATACAATTGCGAAATAAACAAAAACATTTAACATAATGTAATATTTAAAAGACAATAATAACGATATCATGCAAATATAATTGCTGTACGATATATTTAATTAATATTGCATACTATCAGGGTTAAAAAGCTCTTTGTGTAATGTTTATCATTGTTATCAACTTTTTTTTTTCTCATCATGTATGCATAATGGTGTATGTTTGATAATATCGAGAGACAAATAAATAAATTAAATAAAACTTCGACGAATTTAAATCTAAATAATATGTATGTAAATATTGATGTGGTATTAACCTTCAGCCATATGTTCTTGAAGTGCATCCTTTTCTTGATGTAAGAGATCGCAAAATTGATCTCCTACTTGTCGAAGAAGTCTGTGTGCTGTCTCTAAGTCTAGATCTCCTTTGATAACTTTATCTAATTTATCTTTATCGTTGTTTTTTTCTGATTTATCATCTTTACTATTGCCCGAGTCCTGATTATCTTTTCCCGGCAACCATAAGCGTAGATCTTCCTGCAACAGCACAGTGGTATCCGTTATCAATCACACTCCTGCAGAAGGATGATGAATCAAATTTTCAGACGGTGCGCGTTAATAAAAATAATTTAATAAACGAATAATAATAAAAGAAATTTACCTCGGAAGTATCTTTGTGCGGGTCGCTGAATCCAGCGATAGCCAATTGTCCATTTTTTGTATATCGTAATCTGCGAAATGCGAAGAATCTACAGAAGACATTTTGAGGAAGATTTTTAAGTCCGTTAGTAATGGCGTGCCGACATTCACGACACTTGGCTAATTTAGGTGCAGCGTAGAAACAAATATCGTCTTGTAACCAGCTTTGACCTGTCTTCTTTAACTGTGATACGGCTGGTCTTCGTATGGGACCACCACTTCCACCTGGCCCATTGTTACCGCCACTTGTGCTATCATCTCTACGTTCTTTTTTTTGACGGGGTTGTTGATCTTCTCCTCCTGTATCGTTGTTACCTTTAGTAGTCTTTGGTCTTCTCCCTCTTTTCCTGAGTTTATTATTATTTTCTATGCAAACAAATGAGAGTAGAATATTTAATAATAATAATACAATATCCTATTACATATTTTAATAATTATATTATAATTAATAATCAGGGTTAAAAAGCTCTTTGTGTAACATTTATCACGGTTAATCAACTTTTTATTATCATCATGTATATATAATGTAACAGCTAAAGTTTAATAATAAGAAGAAAAATATATATATATTTACAAAATAAACTACGTTAAGTGAATAAAATTACCAAAAATATCAAATTAATTTGATTCTTATTATTGACTTCCCATACAGCTTTTAAAGAAAGGAATAAATGTATGATCATGAAACGCGTATCACTTACCCTGCAAGTGAATAGTTAGTTCACCTGATGGGAAGTCCATTTACAACAAGCTACGTCAACTAACCGTTTCCAGAGGAATTGTTGGAATTAGCCGTGGTATGTCGCACTCTTGGAGTTGGTTGAACAGAGCCCAATTGTTCGCTATCGCTACCAGATCCAGCATCGCTTTCAGGGCTAGAATCACTTCCCGCTCCAGCCCCTACGCTTTGTTTCTCTTCTTTGTGTCTCCGCTGATCTTCTGCGGCAGTTTGTTGCCTCCGTGCAGCTCCCTTCTTTCGTTTTACCTACCACAGGGCACAGATTATTAAGTAGTCAGGAAGTTCATGCTTTCGTACCTGCTATTAACGTAAAGCTACTAAATACAACTAAAAATGTTTAAAAAAAAAAAGAAAAAAAAAGCAAAAAAATCAATCTAGTAGAAATTAATAATATATGTAAATAGTTTAAGAAACATAGATACATATAAAAAAGAAATATAATGTAAATCTATATATATAATATACATACACACACACACACACACATACATACATACATACATATTCAACAAACGTATACACGTATAGACCAACCCAAAGTATATAAATTCTTTTGAAAAAGTTTAAATAATTAATAAATTTTTATTGAAAATATAATTATTGATAATAAATTTGAATAATAAACATCTTTTTAATATTATATTGAAGAAATACAAAGTAAATATACCGTAGAATCGATCACGTTCTGCGATAGAGGTTAAGTTAAGTGGCTATAGACGCATTGTTATAATTTACTATTATTTAAATGTATTACCATATTTATTTCTATAGAAACTTTGATATCACGTTCAATTAACAATAATTAGTAACAATTAAATGTTATTTTAATGATATTATCTTTATAAATGAGGATAATCAACAACGGCTATAGAACTGCTCGGAAATCACGTAGTCCACTGAGTTTTACAAGAAAATGGCGGCGCTCGTGGTAGTAACGCTCAATGGCGGTTAATTTAAATTTAAAAAGTATCTCCAACCGTTCTTCCTGTCTGCGAAATACAAACACGAAAAAAATAAATCGAGATATTTCGACTTTACGTTTCGATTATTGAAATTTAATTATTTTTAAACGCGAGTACTTCATTTATTTCTTAGAAAACATAATAATTGTTTATTTTCATATATTATAAATCTAAATCATGCGATATTCGTATAAAATATTGAGCAAATATCTAAAAAATATGACAACAATTTCATGCTAATGATAAAAATAATAAAATGATATAAATAAACTAATAATAAATTAATAATAAAATGTTTTCTAATTATATGCATTTTCTAAATAATATTTGACAAACATTATTCATATGTTTTATCGACAATCATTCAAAAAAAAAAAAAGAAGAGATAAAAAAAAAATAAACGAACAAACAAACTAATAATAAGAACAATATGAAGATGATAGATACCTTGGTTGTTTTTCTTTTAGGCGGCGACTTTCGTTCAGTGTCGCTGCTGGATGAATCTTCTTGAAGATTTTTTACGTCAGTTGCATGACCGTTAAGAGGTTCCTTATTCGTTGTCTTACGACTTCCTTTCGCAGTGACTTTACTCTTGTTGATGCTGTTCACTGCCATACTACCGATATTGTAAATGGAATTAACGGCGCTAGGTAAACAGGTCGTAGTTGTAGTTGTGTTACTCGAATTCGAGCTTGGTTCGCGTTCTTTGTTATTCAGTGGTTGAGATGGTGCTTGAGAAATGTTGAGAGGTAAGGTAACACAGGAACCACTTCCAACCATGCCTGTGGTATCCTCGGTCCCATCTTCGCCTGAATGCCTTTGAAGCCATGCCTTTTTTAATTTATGAACGGGATAGCTAGTACTGCTAGGTTGTCTCGGTGCTGGACTTTCGGATTTTTCATTATCGTTTGTGGTAGGATTAGTTTTGGCAGGTGTACCAGGAGCACTGGGTGCTGGACTGGGCGCCATTGATGGAGCTGGACTTGGTATAGGTGCTGGACTTGGTGCTGCACTAACATTGGTAGGATTAAAAGAGCTAACACTGCCGGTACTGGCTGGTCTAACCGAACCATCGCCACTGGCTGTCCTCGGTGCTGGACTTTCAACGGCAACGGTACGTTCTTGAGAAGGCTGAGAGTCGCTCGTAGGTTGTGACAATAAAGCCGCGGTATTGACGACAGTGGTGATAGAGGTTGCGGCCGAAGCGATGAGAGGACTAGGTTCGCTCACCCTAGACAAAACGGGTGGGCCGACGCATTGTAGGGACAACGGTTGTGGTTCTTCCGTTCGTCGTTTTTTACAGACCTCTAAGGAAACCGGCTGACCACTAACATTATCGCAGGAAAGTGGCGTTGGTGCTTTTCTCTTAGGGGAGCCGGATCTTTCAACTCCGAGATCGAGGGGTTGCGTTTGAAAATTCGAAGCAGCAATCTGCGGTTGAGAGTGTTGCAACGTTTGACCGGGTTGTTGGTGTGGACTACCGTGATGAGCAGGATGAACGATCGGCCTCGAAAGCGGTGCCGAAGCAGCCGTAGGTGGTGATCCGTGTAGAGGTGGAGGTGGTAGTTTCGCGGCTGGCATCGAACCAGCGAAACCCCTGTTATCGTATACGGATCTGCTACTGTGGGCTGGTGGAGGTAAAGGAGGTGGCGGCGCTCCATGATGATGAGGCACTTGCTGGTAAGGCGAGCTACCGGCTTTCGACGTTAAAGGTATCGGTGCTGCGACTGCGGGCTCGGAAGCCCTACAAACTGGCGTACCGGTCATTATACCGGAATTTGGCTTGCCGTATATATGTGGTGGCGCCGGACTGCTGACTTTCGGTTTCGAGACAGCCGGAGGTGCGGCATAATGTGAAGTCGGTGAAACCGTAGGTGGGTGTGGATGTGGATAAGCATACGTTGATTTAGTTGTAGCGTAGGGTAGCCCAGGCTCGGACCTGTTCAGATAACGCGTTTCTGGGGGCGATGGATGTGGCGGCTGATGAGGATGCTGAGTATGAGGCGACTGTCGATTGTGCGAGTGTGGTGGTGGATGACCGTGAGAGCTCGGTAGTTGGGACGCTGTCGTAGAACCTCCACCGCTGCTCCCACTTCTGTGATGACTTTGCGGTATGCTCTTTGCCCCTTGCAAACTGTCCAGGTGATGGAGGTGATGAGGGCTTTGAGTTGGACTCCTATATTCGTAGGCAGCCTGCTTGTGTTGCGGCGTTACCGGTTGAACGTTCATGTACGGCATCATTTTCGGACTCGGCGAGTGTTGTTGAGGTGGTGGACCCTTGGGTAACTCTCTGCCTTCGTTTTTCACAATAACGGAACTCTTGTGATCGGATAGCAAAGAAGGTGGATTTTGTAATACCTCCCTACCATGATGATCTCTTTCGAGACCACCAGCTAAACCACTTTTGCTCGTTAACGTTTTATGAGAAGATTGTCCAAGTTGGTCGCTCTTTACTTTCATATCATGCATATACGAGGATTGCGCTTGGTAAGTTGAATAACTGAACAGATTAACGTTCGGTTCAGCTTTTGGAAGCGAACTGTGCGACGGACCCACCACTGACGGTGCTTTTTCGTGAAGACTACCAACCGGCAACGATGACTTAGATGTCCTAGAATGTGCTGGTGGTGGTGGGTATTCGACTTTTCCAGGTACGCTCGACGGTCGGGATACCTAAAAAAAGAAGAAGATGAAAATAAAAAAAAGAACAGCAGCAAATACATTTTTAATATAGATAAGACGAAACCGTAAAGAATACAAAAAAAAAAAAAGTGATATTATTGAAGTGTACCTGTTGAGTCGCTGGCGCTGTAGCAGCGTAATAAGCCGCCCTTTGTTGTGCAGCCACGTGATCTCTAGCTTCAGCTTGCCTATGTAATCTTTCAGCAACTGCCATATGCTGTTCCCTTTCCCGTTCCCGTTCCCTTTCTCTCGCATCTCGTTCTCGGTCTCGTTCCCTTTCCCGTTCTCGTTCTCTAGCTTCACGTTCTTCGCGTTCACGTTGCTGTTGCTGTTGCTGCGCCACCGTTACAGGATGCGTAGCGGTTGAACCAGGACCACCAGGATGATGGTGGCCACCGTGCGCAGCCATACCCGAATGCGGACCACCATGACTTCTACTTCCGTGTGGTGGGAGAGGTATAAAAGTGTTCCACGCCATCGAGGCCGACTGCAAGTTTCTCTGCGGAATATAAGACACCTACTTCAATCAATACTGCCAATCACTTTCATCTTTATTGACCTAAGCGATTTATTATGCGAATAATACGTCAAACGATTCGTTCCCTATTATAATTCCTACCGTATTATTTCTATTAAACAATATACTATTGCCTATGTAACACATTGATCGATTTTAATTCTCACGTTACACAACTATGAACTTATGTGTGTTAGTCTAATGGAAGTATCTGAATTTCCATAGAATTACGCGTGTCATTGTTAAGTTTTATTTGATTTTCCTTCCTTTCTACATGCAAAACCAGTTTTCCTTTTTTTTTTACACATGGCACTCAATACAAATACTCATCATCATCATCTCACGCAACACAGTTGTTATCGTGTTTCTCGGTAAGAAAGGATTATGCAAACTAGCCTAGCACGAATTCAAGGACTACCTCTGGCTACTTTGGAATTCAAACGGGTTAACGTACCCTTTTCGGTACGCAACTATTATATTATTTCAAACGATATATTTCTCTAACGTTAGATACCAGTCGCTAATTTTAAAAATATCACATTCAAGGTCGACGACAAATTTCTTTTACAGTTCTTTTTAGAGAATAACTAATTGCGACTAATGTTTAGTTCGTGGCAAAAGCTTACCCCCCCCCCCTCCTCCTCTTTCCCATGAGATAAAACAACAGTATGGCGAGTTAAAGAAGGATTCTCGAAAATGTGGCTCGCACGAAATGCGCAAATCTAATTATAACCTCAAGTAAGGTTTTATTATGCTAATCGAAGTGCTAGTAAGTGTCAACCCACGTTTTGTTTACCTCACTAACACGTCATCGTTCATCGTCATCGTCTTCGTCTTCGAATACGAGTAAATATATGAACTTCTTTAGCGCGCATATTAACTGCAGACGATAAAAAAAAAAAAAGAACAAAATAAAAGGAAAAAAGAAAAAGAGAAAGAGAAGAAAAAAAAAAGAAATAACCGAGCTCGGTGAAAAGAATTGAAACACAAAGAAATAGAAGAGCGCACCTATATAAGGTGCTCGTTAATGCTGCCGAACGAACCGGAAGAAGATGTGTCTAGTCGATTACATAGAAAAATATTTCTCACTTTAATTAACATTTTTCTTTTCTTTTCTTTTCTTTTCTTTTTCTCTTTCAACGTCGGCCCCATTTTTTTGTTCTTTTCTTTTCTTTTCTACGATCATCATTTTCTTCTTCTTCTTCTTCTTCTTCTTCTTCTTCTCATCGTGGGTCGATATTGTTGCTTGCTATTTCGTATTCATTAAGAGGTTAGGTATCTAAACCTCTATTCGCAGGAATGGAAACTTCCGGTTTGATAAATGAAATGCTTCACTAACCATCAATTGGATTTATTCATTCCTTTCTTTCTTTATTTCTTTTCTTCCTTCCTTTCGATCGAATTTTTTGAAGTTATACTTCTGTTTGGCGCGTTATTGGAAAGTGAAGTTAGATGCGACCGAAATATCAACACCATGAAGTTGTCGTCGAGATATTTATACGATGCGCGGGAAAATTGAAGTTACTTTTGAGCCATTGGTGAAAGGAATTCTTTAAATAGTAACGGTTGTATCTATCTGTTGTTTTTTTTTTTGAAGTTATACTTCTGTTTAGCGCGTTAATGGAAAGTGAAGTTAGATGCGACCGAAAAATCTACGACACCACGAAGTTGTCGTCGAGATATTTATACGATGCGCGGGAAAATTCATGTTAATTTTGAGGTTATGTTCGTTTTGGTATGCTAAAAAGAAGTATAATTTCTTACGTGCGTACATAAGTACATTTTTTTTCTTTTATGAATTTGCGTTGCGAAATATTAAGAGGAGAGAGAGAGAGAGAGAGATAGATGATATAAGAGGGGGTAAAAAAAACAAAAGAAGAAGAAGAAGAAGAAGCTTGAAGACTCTCGACAGTGTTGGAGGAGGAGGGGGGACATCGATTATATTCCCAGACCAGTTGTGTTGAATTGAGTTGACTGAGTCATTCGAGTAAAGTCCTCGAGTGTTGCTCGTAATCGCAATACTATATATGGTATATGACGGTTAAATATGCTGCTCGTGACACGATCCAACACGATTCAAATATCAAGGAATTTTTATAGGCTTCTTTAATGTAGGAAATGGTGGTGGTGGTGGTGGTGGTGGTGATGGTGGTGGTAGTGGGAGGGGAATTCTAGCGTTAGAGTAGTGATATCTCGTTATAAAACTGATTTCGTAGAAATCATCATCCGTACTTCGTATGGAAAAGTTTGTCATTCTTTTTTTTTTACGATTAAAACCGTGTGTCTCTCTCTCTCTCTCTCTTTCTGTTCCGTGCGTTAAAGATACTTGTGCAATAATTATATTTTGTTGTTTTATCATTTCATTTAGAATCAATCGTATGAATATAATATTATGTTGTGCGTTATTACAATTGGGCCAAAATTGTATACGTCATGATAATAAATATCTAAAACATTTTTTTTTGTATTACTAATTATTTTTTAACAATTGTACAATATATAAATTGGATTAATATCTGTTAACTCGTAAATATCGTATTTATTTTTAACGAATAAACATTTTATTATCGATTTATGATGATAATTTATACGACGAAGGCCTATATAAACAAGGAAGACTATCGTAATGTTATTTAGGTGAAACAAAATTAGAATGATATCGTAAGGTCAAGAAAAAAAAATAACAATAGCGTGGAATAAAAACAATGTCGATAAATCATATAAAAAAAAAAAGAACTTGCGAAATGGAATATAAATTTATCTTTAATTCGATTAGCATAAAAATGGAATAATACTGCGTGTCAAATTTAATTGCCAATTATCTTAGACAGTTAACAACAAAATCAATCAATATAAAATAACCTCTCTTTAACTATATAAGAAAATTAAAATCCTAATCCTTAATAATTAAATTCAGTCTTCGTGAGTTAAAATAAAAAAAAAAAAACATCAAAGAGATAACTTACATTTGTTTCATTTGTTTTTATTTATACAATCATACGTATTTCAATCTGAACTAACGAACACCAACGCCGCCCTAGTGGAGAATTATCGTACTAACTAGTATTTAGTCACTTTCAACAACAAAAATTTGACGAAAATCGAATCCGTATAACTTCGTTAATTATATGAAAAATAACTAAAAAAAAAAACAACAACTATTCTTTATAAAACCGGTGTTATTAATAAATAAAATATGAAATATGAAAAGAAGAAGAAAAAAAAAGATGGAATCCTTGTACAAGAAAGAATATAAATATTGATGAAAAGTTTCGATTAATCGGTCATCGAACGTTTGAGTTGAAGGATGACGAGAGGATGAGAATTATGGTGGATAGGAGATAGGGATAGGGGCAGGGGGAGGAAGGGGTTTGTTCGCGTTATTGGAAAACGAGATAAAAGTTTTTATTTGCCGATAGGGAAGCAAGCTTTTATCGCGAGTAATAAGAGCGATAGACTCAGCCGTTATCGTACTGATTTATAACCGGATCCCCAAGCCTTTATGCACAAGCCTGTGTTCCACATATATATATATATATATATATATGTATATATGTATATGAACTCAACCATGTGACACAGATCGTAAACGATATCGTAGAAACGCGATACATCGTCTCAACTTCTCGCAATTCCCTTTGTTTCCTAGCGAATAAACAAGTTTGTAATCGACGATCATCGATCGTTTTTGATTCCATACACGTTTACCCACCCCCTTCAATCCCCCTTTCAAATCCATTTCCCCCATATAATATACGTGTATGTAATATGTATCCCTCATCCTATTGCAATCAGATTTTGATTATTTTCAAATTCGATTTGTATAGGAAGAATAAAAATAAAAATAAGTCGATTGGTTAGATAGATTTTGATCGACAGATAGATGATAAATTAATAATCTTTAATACGTTATTTATCTACGTGAAATTTTGAATATTTTCGATAGTTTTTAAGCCGAAAAACAATTTTAGATAATATTGTTTAGTGTGATATATTTCTTTGTTTTTTTTTGGGGTGGGGTGGGGTGAGGTGGGTGGGGGATTTATCTAGTATTCATTATAAAAGATAAAATATTGAAGTATGTTATGATTTTGTTTGGGAGATAACATTGACGTCACACACGTAATCGATGATTAATTTAATTAGGGGTGTGTTATCATCGATTTCGCAGATTATTTTTAACAATGTGGCAATCCTAATATATTACAATGTATAATTAATTAATTAATTAATTAAATATATATATGAGAATATAATTGTTAATGGTAGGTTGTTTTAAAAGGAAGTGTTTCTAACGAAGAAGAATAATAAGAATAAGATGAAAATTTAGAACACAACGTGTTGTACGATATTGTTTAAACGATAATAAGAAAAAGTAGAATATATTATAATCATAAGACGTAAAAGAAATATTAATTATGCATAACTTAGCAACTGTTTAACGTGTATAAGAATATTTTGTCGATCTTGTTTCTTGTCATCCTTGAATAGATATTTTTTATACGTATATTATTAACGTACGTTCATTCGAGAGATCGCAACGAGTTGAAAGAAGAATTTTCTCGACGAGAATAAAAAAAATAGAAAGAAAAGTAAAAAAACATCGAGAGAGAGGAATTTATAAACGATAAGAGAAAAAAAAAAAGAAAGAAAGAAGAGAATAATTGAAATAAAAAAAAATTATTACAATGATACATCAAGTATGTATCATATTAATTGATCGTTTAATTGGAATATATTGAAAAAAAAAAATCAAGAAAAAAAAAACAAACTAAAGAGAAACATTTTATTATTAAGTTTGTGTATTGAAATAACGTGTTACTTTTATCGCGTATAACCCAATCAAATTTTTTTTTTACTTTGATACAAACAATTTTAAATGACACCTGTATTTAATTCAGAATTGATGTGGTGGTGGCTTACTTTGAAATAGGATAAAACAAATATCGATGAATAAATTCATAGTTTAGGTTTTATTTAACAATTTTTATTACTTTTGC